AAAAAAAAAAAAGTTTAAAAAAGGATAATTTTTAAAATCCAAAACTGGTACAAGGGGAGATGAACAGACGAGTACCATGGAAGAGAGAACAAAACCACCATGATGGTTGTAAGAAGCAGCACATGAGTAGGAAAAGAATTTCCCTTACAACAAAGACTATGGGCCAGGAATAAAGCATGTTGACACCCCCCAGTTGACTCTGAGGCATGGTCAAGTTTGAGAATCACTGTTCTAGTCAGTGTTTCAATATATAATACACCTGTGCTTTCTTTCCATCCATTTTCTGGGGAGAAAAACACTCAAGTGTGAAATTTATGTCAACAGTGCTAACTCCCAGATGCACGGACAGTAAACAGAGGATTATCTTTACTGAGAAAAGGCATAACCTCACTTCCTGTGGGCCGTAGGTTCTAACTCTCAGCCAGGCGTTAGGTAGCCCAGAAGAAGTGCTGTTTTTATCAACAGAAAATTTCAGAAGGAAAATAATTACTCCCATTCTCCACAATTTACTATTTCCCCAAAATACAATTTGAACAATAAAGAGGCCCATAAACCCTTTTGTTGGAGTAGAGTTCACCCCAGTGCCACCAGTCCTGCAAACTCTCAAATTGTCCTTCAAAATGTGTTAATTAGTAACATTCGTTAGGAACTTAAAGGAACATTTTCATGGCGTAAGAATGTTGTGACGTAAAAGCCGTAGCTTATTGGTTATTCAGGGTCCTGTTTACATTGTGGCTACCTTCTTTAATGGCTTCACTGCAGCTTTATTTAGAATGTGAATGAACAAGTACAGTCATATCCTACAGTAGTGGTCATATGAATTTATATGTAAAAACATCATGAAGACGGCTTAATTTTAACACTGTCTTTTACATATTATGAGAGACCTAAGAGATGGATATACACTTAGCCTGTAAACTGCCTCTTTTCTTTAAACTAAGTTAAGTCTTCCAGGAAATTCTCCACAATTCTCACCTCAAAGGTGTCAGTAATATTCTAATGGAATACTGACCAGTTGGGGTTTTACATTCAACATTCAAGGATCACGAATTCTCTTGTGTACTAAGAAGTAAGTTGAGGTGACAAAGGCACCGTGGACACTGAGTGGCAGAAAGCAGCAGCCTGGAGCTGCAGCCAGTGCTGCAAGGACCAGGTTTTCACCCAGCATGGGGCTCTGCGGCTCTCCAAGGCAGAATGCCGGGCTGAGGGCTTTGTAAGACACTGGGTGTGAGGCGCAAGGCCTTGGGTTCTAAGTGACAGAGAGCAGAGCACGGTGGACAATGTGCAGCAATGCTGGATGAGGACTGCTGTGTTCAGCCGAGGCTAGGGCCGGGAGGTGTACTGGAGGCATCTTAAGGTGTCTCCAGAGCACATTCCAGCTATTGATGACACACGCGAAGGTTCTGAAGAGCTGGGACTTAGGAGAGTGTGACACGCATCACATCAGGAGGTCTGCACTTTGTGTGTACAGAGGAATCCGGGACAGGGAGTGTTGTTCAGCAAGCTGCCGATTGATGGCCAGAGGTCCCGTCTCTAACACCTTTGTCAAAGAACTGAGGTGAATATAACGAAAGAGGGCTCCAGAGGAGGCTCAAAGAAGCATAAACGAGCAGGGAGGAGTTGGGTCTTGATGAAGGGGCAGATAATCTTTCATGCAGGGTAGACAAAAGGAGCAGTGGAAGGAAATGGTCACGGGGCCAGTAGATGGCAGAGTGGTTATGTCGCTGGACTCCCATATGGCCAGCTGTGGTCTGAGCCCCAGACCCAGCGACTTAAAAATCACACTGGGTATGTATACTTGCGTGCCCACCCAAGATCCCAGGAGAATGGAGAAGGGATTGTGGGGTGGCCATCCCTTCTGGGGGCTGATTTCTCACTTTCCCTCTCACTGTCTCTCTCTCTCTCTCTGGTGAGTTCATGTGCCTGAAAAGCAATAAACCTCTAAAAAAATGGACAAAATTTCTGGTTCAGATAAAAGCAAAGTACTACAAATCTTCTAAGGGAAGAGGGGTAAGAAATAGCTCTGAAGAAAGGAAAGAAATAATGAGTTTTCTTCTCCAAGGTCCTCAGGTGTTAGTTGGGACCACTGTAGGGAAGGTGCGGCCAGAAAGTTGCCTTTCATCTGAATGACCCTGTCCAACTAAAGCAAGCAGGACCCCCTAACCTGATCTTAGCATTTCCTATAAAGCTCCTGATTCCTAAAGTCTCACATAAAGGAATTTGGCAGCAACAGCTATGAGAGCAAGAGAATGTAATGCTTCCATGGATCTTCTGCACACCAAACTATCCAGAATGTGGGTCCGTCCGAACTGCTGTCATGGGCATGCCTGTTAGAACAGGTTCTCCACCTAGCTAGAACACCTTCAAAACCAATGTGCTTTTGCTATGAATGAACTTTTCTTCACTCTTTAGGTTTTTTCCACAGGCCGTGTGCACCTGTTGGAGAGAGATGGAGAGAGATAGCAAGAGGGAAAGTGAGAAATAACCCTCCAGGGGGATGGCCACACTGTAATTCCTTCTCTTCCGTCCTCCTCTCAGGATTCTGGGCATGCATGCACACATGCCTAACGTGATTTTCAAGTTGTTGGGTCCAGGACACAAACCATGCAGTTGGCCATGTGGGATCCAGCATCTTAACCTGCATGCCACCTGCTGGCCCTGGGCTCAAAGTTTTAATGGTATCACTTAACAGACTATCTGAAATACCAGGACCAGCAGTTAGCGTAATGGCTATGTCGCTGGAGTCCCACGTAGTCGACCGCAGTTCGCGTCCCGGACCCGGTGGCTTAAAACTCACGCCGGGCACATGTGCATGCATGCCCAGGATCCAAAGAGAACAGAGGAGAAGGGACTGCGGCATGGTCATCCCCTCTGGGGGGTGATTTCTCGCCTTCTGTCTCTCTGTCTCTCTCTGTCTAGCGAGTACACGCGCCCTATAGCAAAAAGAACCTAAAAAAAAAAAAAAATCCTATCACTCATAAAAACAGGTCTCTTACCTTAACTCCCAGAATCTATAAAAAAGAACGAGGGTTAGAACCTTAGGTATTTAAGTATTTGACAAAAATATTATGTCAACAGTACTTTTTTTTGTTTTTAAAGCTTTTTGCCATAGGGCATGTGCACTCACCAGAGACAGTGAGAGGAAAAATGGGGGGGAGGGGATGTGTGTGGCCATATTGCAATCTTTTCTTTCCTTTCCCTCCTGGGGTTTTGGGCACACATACACACACACCCAGTGTGAGTTTTAAGCTACTGGACCTGGGACGCGAGCCATGGTTGGCCATGAGGGAACCCAGTGCCTTAGCCACTATGCCACATAAGATTAAATCCCAAAGTTGACATAGATTTAAAAAACAGGTAAAATATAAGAGTAGACAGACATTACATTAATGAATCCACTTCCTTTATTGCAGTAACCTCTGTACAAAGCCGCAACTGCAATACTCAAAAGTTAAAACATTAGAAAAGCATTTATGTGACAGTTACAGTACTGTATATCAAAATATTACATTTTCAAACTTAGTAGATAATCATCCACCAGAGCTCAAATCTTTAAATTATTTCCATAGTTTTAAAAAATATGTAATGTCAGAAAGCATATAAAAAGAAAGGAAGCCTAAAATACAAACGAAATAATGTAACAAATAAATATCCGATTTAATGAACTGCTAATCAGCTTACACCTCCATTCTCTCTAAACCCATTGAATTCTTACCTGTAGGAATAGTGAACTGTCAAATGTCATCGCATAATTTCTAAGGAATCATCAATAATCAGAACTAAAAAAATTTTGGCATTAAGATCATCAAAATTCAGCATAAATAAAATAGGTAGCATCAACACTAGTAAGCGTATCTAAGAATTAATTGTAAAAATTTATTAGAGCATTACAACTCTGAGAATTTTTGACCTGGTGTCTAGTGTTAAGTGAAAGTAATGCATCCATTTTTTTTTTAAGTGAAAAGCATCTTACATTATTTCACAATGTTACCCTCCCCGTGTTATGTATATTTAGATACATTTTATGTACTTTATACACACATGTATGTATGACACATGACATTTGGTTCCTGTAGTATAGATCACAATGATGTTTTCCTGAATGGGAAAAACTAAAACAATAAAAAACAAAAAATAAGTGTACCTGTGCACATTTCAAGATAGCAGCACTCAATCTACGCCCTACTGTCCGTTTAAAAAGTTCACATGTGATATCGTCTATTGAATAATGACACTTCTACCGTCATTTCCCCAGAACACTGCCAAACCTGTGATAAATGGAACAACGCTGTGAGCTACACTATAATGTAGGAAAACCAGTTACTTATTACCTTAATGTTCTGAATTCAGTGTTATTGGATCTTCGACTTACATGAACTTAGTTCATAATCATGCAGCAAAAATACTGCACCACTGAATATAATAATAATATCACAGATTTCTTTGGAAGATTCATGAACCGCAAAAGTTCTCCCCCACTGAAACCAATGAACCCACTGAAACGCACTCTGGACAAAATGCTCTCCATGGTTGAACTGAAGAGTTGTGGGAAGAGACAGCATGCCTTCAAATGGTCACCTCTGTTCTCCACCAAACCTATTATCTGTCAATCTGATTTTGAACTTATGTGTACTAAAACAAACAAAAACATTTTACACTAATAAATTTTGATCACTTTAAAATGCAACACCAGCAACATAAATTTCATTATATATACACATGTGCATCTGTGTATGCATATAAATTACACACACACACATACATACATGTAGACATAAATCCCTTGAAATGTTTTTAGGAAATCCTTCCTTGAATTAAAAATAAAAAAATTTCACATTAATAATTGTATATAAAGCTTTTAGGACAGTACATATGCACTGTCAAAATTGTTACTAGTAGAAGGATGTCAAAACAGACATTTCAAAAGCACAAACTGGCAGTTTTTCTTAACACAAATGTTTTAAAGTATTAAGAATGGATTAAATTTAAATGTCCAGAACAATCTGTTCAAACCTGAGTGTATTAAGACTAAGTGTACTTGACAATTGAATGAGGCCTAAAAACATTTCACTAAGAAACCAGTGGTCCATTTAACCATTTGATGAAATATTATTTGAATGATTTACAAAGGATGGTACAGTGTAGTGAAATTCCACACAGTGATTATTGAAATATTCTATCTAGTAAATGACATTGCTTTATCTAAATTTCCTCTAGAAACATCTGTTAGTATTTCTTATAAATCCCTCAAATTTGAGGAAAATTCTAAATTAGGACAGATCTCTCTTGAAATAAATACAAATGATCTTGAGAATATTTAAAGAATGACAAGAAAAAAAAAGACTTTTTCCGCATGGTATACAGAAGTACTGTTTAAGTCTTCAACCTTCCCTAAGAAATAACAATAGAGATAGACATAACAGCCCATCAGAGGGATTAAAAAAAGGGTATTTGGGGCCATTTTTTCCCTATTTCTACATTTTACATTTACAGATATTCATACAAACCTGATCTTAGGGTTGTTCTGTGGTTACCATTTTCCCCCACTGTTTCATTAGCCTGCCCTAATTCTCACCTTTAATATCTAACAGATACCTTTTAAAAAGTAATAGAAAACATACAGTACTCAATGCTAATTGGTCAATGAAAGAAGAAAAGCAGTTTCTATTTTGCTTTCAGGTGGGAGAGACTAGAAATAAAAGTAAAAGCTGAAGGCAAAGTTTGACATTCTATAAATTTATAAAAGAGGATACATGGATGAAATTTGGTTAATTTCAGAAGGCACCTCAAGGCTAAAGGCTTTTTGTACTCCTTTCATCAATCAAAAATAACACATTTTTATTGCTATTCAAGTAGCAAAGGAAAACTTTACTCTTACTGTACTTTAGTCCAAGAAAGGATCACCATTCATTAAGACAGAGATATTGGAACTGACTAAAACTGAAGTCTCCATACACATATCAATGGAGTAACTTTCCTGTGCTTTCAAATTAATGAAATAGTGAAAGAAAAGTCACAGTTCGCCATTGTGATGTTAACATGTCATTGAAGATTTCAGTCACTTCATTAGGCACTGAAGCACAACTCAGGAGGGCCGTCCATCATGAAGAGCGTTTACGAGTAGAAGGTAAGGACACTCTGATGATTCCCACGAACTAAAAGGATTGGTGGTAGATCTTTAGACAGAGCTTCTAGCCATGCCATGTAGAGAGCACTGGACACCGCACCTTTTCGTGCAACTGGGAGACTCCTGGTCCCAAAAGAAGACAAAGAGATCTAACTGAGCAATGCATGGAAGCTGATTGGAATAAGGTGCAACAAAACTTATAAATTAGGTTACAGTAATCAGAAATTACTATAATAACAAGATATTTCTGAGTGCTGGGAAACTGTCCAGGTAGAACATGTGTTTAGAATCAAATGGAGTCATCTGTGTCAAGACTAACTAAACAGGCTGAGGACAGCCAGAAGGACATGCCATCTCACACTAGGCATGGCTGATGAAAGAAACATCATTTGGACAATTTTGCCAAATTATACTATAGCAGAAAGACCACTACAACCTAACCAACCAAGTCCAAACTTGGACAGATGAAGCTTCCTGTGTTACTGACCCTGGTAGCCAAGGGTAGATGTTCCAAACAACTGATAGAATGCCCTCCCCTCCTCCTCCTATTGTGGTTTTTGCCTTTAAAGCCTCTCCAAGAAATTAAGACCTCAGTGTACGTGTTTGTGGCAACCTCAAACATGCTCACCTGGACGACAATGCCAGCTGTGGTCTGAATGTTTATGCCTGAGTAAACTCCTTCTTGCTTAACCTGCTCTGACTCAGTTTACATTCTTTTTTCTTTTTTTTGGAAAGGTTTTTGCTATAGGGCGCGTGTGCTCGTCAGACAGACAGAGAGAGACAGAAAGCGAGAAATCACCCCCCCAGGGGGGGATGGTCACGCCGCAATCCCTTCTCCTCCTTTCTCCTGTCGGGATCTTGGGCACGCACATACATGCGCCCGGAATGAGTTTAAGCCACTAGGTCTGGGACTCAAACCGCGGTCAACTACATGGTAGTCTAGCAACACAGCCATTATGCTAACTGCTGGTCCCAGTTTACATTCTTTTTCAGGTTGACAGATAGCAACCACCATACTTCCTTCTCTCTATTCCCCATGTTTTCAAGTTTCAACAATCTTTAAAAACTTTTTCGTAATAGCAAATAAATATGACTTCTCCTTCAATAATGGAATTCTTTTAGGAGAAAGGAATGTTTCTACTGAAATTTATAGAATCAAGGCCATATAAGTGGGTGAAATTCTTTCTTTCTGAGTTTTTATATTTCTACTTAAAGAAGATGATACTGGTAACCAGCTGCTCTGTAGAGCACAGTTTCTCTCTGAATTTGTATATTTTCTTTTTTTTAAAAGAGAGATTTTTTGCCATAGGGCATGTGTGCTCTCCAGAGAGACAGAAAAATAGTGAGGCAGAAAAGGAAAAATCACCCCCCAGGTGGAGGGGCAGGCTGTATGCCCTTCTCCCTCGGGAGATTGGGCACTCATGCACATGCACCTGGTGTGAGTTCAAGCCTCCAGGTCTGGGACTTGAACTGTGGTCGGCCATGTGGGAGTCATGTGGGAGTTAATGACATAACTATTACACCATCCGCTGGTCCGTGTATTATCTTACATTGCAGGTATTTGGTCATCAGTAGCAAAACTTGATACTATCTGGTATGCTGAATATTTGTTACTGACTGAGCTAACGAGCCTCTGATATTACTTCAGCCCGTCACTCGGCATGGGTTTTTGGCTTGTGCTTTTCTTATCTATTTAAGAACAGACACAGGCTTTAGGACTGAGAATATTTAAATTCAAGTAAAATCCAGTTAACCTAGTTTAGCAGAGGAAAAGTCAAAGTAGGCCTCAGCACCTGTACCTAAGGCAAAGACCAAGTGTGTGGCATGCCAAGTCTGGGAGGTGGCAGAGGACACAGGGGTGGGGATTCAGACAGGAACTGCTGTTTAAATTTAATTCTCCAAGTGACACTTCAAAAGGAAGGTGTCTGGGGTACTATTTTTTTTTTTTCTTTTTAAAGAGAGACTTTTGGTATAGGTCATTGTGCACTTCCCGGGGAGACACAGAGACAGAAAGCAAGAAATCCCCACCCCTTCTTGAGGGGATGACCTCGCCACAATCCCTTCTCCTCCATTCTCCTCTTCGGATTCTGGGCATGCATGCACATGTGCCTGATATGAGTCTCAAGCCACCGGGTCTGGGACTCAAACCGCAATCGACCATGTTGGAATTCAGCAACATAACCATTACGCCATCTGCTGGTTTCTGGGATCCAAATTTTAATGGGGGAGGCTATACAATAGTGTTTCCAAAGTTTGGGAATTTTGGCAACATTAAAAGGGCAAATAAAACAAAAAATTCCAGAATAACTAATTATGATAAAGAATAAGATATAAATGGTTAAGGTTTTTATTTTTCTTTCCTTACTTAATTTTCTCACATGCTTAAAGCAAAGTATATTCTTAACATTTTGTTTTTTCTTCCTATAACCACTAAGTTATTAGGGGTGCTATATAGATATGTACTTGGAATAGAAATTAATCCAAAGTTATTCATACATTATGATAAAATGGATAGTCAAGAAAATCCTAATACAGATATTACTTACATGACAATAATATTAGCTGTGTTTGAATGCTCCTTTAATAATTCATTTAACCTGATCTGCCGGTATGTCTGAAATGAAACAAGACAAAGTCATTCCTAGACCATTTGAAAATTACAATCTAGTATCCTTCATAATTTTATATACAAAAACAAGGAATTTTGGTATCATAAAAATGTTCCCTATTTGAAAGATAAGAATGCTGCCTACTATTCATATATAAATCCAACTTAGTTAAGTAGATTTTATTTAAACAACTAGCCCCCCATATCAAACTGCAGTTTTTGGCATTTATGTCTAAAATATATTTTCAAGAATCACATGGAAAATTAATGACTAGGAAGCAGAAGAGAAAGACTACCTTGGTCTTATAAAGTTCAAGCTCATTATCTGTTATTCGCCATGGTTCATCTTCTTTCATTTTATCTGCAATATCTTGTTCTTTATCATCTTCATGAAGTCTGTATGGCTCAATCATTTCATCAAAAGCTGCAATACTTAAAAAATAGAAAGATAACTGACTACCGTATTTCAAATTACAGGACAGAAAGATCTTAAACACTAAGCTTGAAAAGTTAGTGTTTTTCATCTATCATGCTCCCCCCTCCATATCCCAACTAACATCATGTTGCTGATTAGAAACTAGCAATTTCAGTTCTCTCAAACTGATCATAAATTTACTTAAAAACGTTTAAAAAGAAATTTACTGTAGAGCCATACTAACGATAAAACTGCAGTTTTAACTGTTAAAGTAATCTCTCTCTGCTCCTATCCCGCCCATTCCCCTCAACCTACAATAAATTTTATCACAGTATCCAAAATGATTCTTTTGGGTGGTTAAGTCAAATTGTGTTACTACTTCGCTCAAAACACTAAAAGGCTTTCTCAGTTCAAGTGCCAGTGAATAAAAGTAGTGCAGGAAAACGTACTAGCACATTATGAAGGAAGGAAAGGGCACGTACAAAAATATTCACAAGATGAAGAATTAATTACTAGATTCCAAAGATACTGTGTAGGACAAAAGATAATAAAAGAACATGGTATTTTAATCCTTCATGAATATGAAAAACATATTTTTCAGTATCAAGTCTAGTATAAAGCTCCTGTTATTTTTAGTAGGAAATAATGTCTCTGCTTAAAAAATGAAGTGTGAGGCTATAATTAAAATTCTCTCCGGAAACTGAAAAACTGTTCAGAGTTATAGGTATGCCAACCATCACTTTTAGATTTTTAAAACATTTACATTAATTAACAGCAGAGAAAAAAAAATTAGATAATAAGTTTAAGCTGTTATTTGCATCTGAGTAGGTCATACAAATAAAAAATTTGTACAGAGTAATTCATCCAATAACTTACTTTTCTTTCTTTGGTTTGGTATTGATATCTCCTAGAACCATGATATCAGAGAAGTCGATCCGGAACTTGCTAAGCAAAGTAGCCATCCTAGAACAAAAAATTAATAGCATTGACATACATGAAGGGTGTAAGTATTTTAATTCTATATCAGACAAATCCATATATTTGAAAAGTATAGTTTATTGGAAAGGTCAATGAGGTGTTAAAAAGTCCAGCTGAATTAATTCACACTGTTCATTCATGAAGCAGACTTCTGAATTCACTGAAAACATACTACTGGTATAATATTTCACTTTCTCTTTAAATCTCTTCTTAATATCCAATAATGAATAGACAAGGGAAAAAATAAAATTTGAATAATGATTAGTTTTGTGTGAAAGCTAATTTTCATCAAATTATATTGGGAAGAATAAGAATTTCAGCTCAAAACTAGGAAACAGTTCCTTAATTATTTTTAGATTATTTTTCCATCTAAGAAGAATGCTTATCTCAAGAGCCAAATATGACTTTGCGCCACACTGAAGATACAGTTGATGTCAGATTAAGTACTCAGCATTCAGGTAGGAGGTAGAGACAGGCATAGGCATGGGAAAGAAGCTCCACCAAGCCCGAGTTTTTGGTAAATAATACCTTTTTAGGGGTATGGCTGGCAATGACACACACTGGTAGCAACAACAGAAAAGGTGAAATACATACACAAGTACATATGAAAGTAATTTACAAAACAGGATTTTATTTTTCATAAAATGACAGTTTTCTAAATTAAGGTATGAGATACTAGAAAATAGATGAGGTATAGGTTTAAGAAATTAATTTCTAGTTACTTCTTACACAATTTACTATTTGAAATGAATAAACACCTACTGGAACTATTCACCTAGGTGGCCACTATATATCAAATGCGCTAAACATTATAGGGTCCATAAAACTCAAATTTAACAAAATAAATATAATACAGGCTAGAACGTGATTAAGTACTAGCAAGAGTGTGTCGTGATTCAGGTAGGAAACACAGTGACTAGTTAGAAGAGCAAGGGAAAAATACAAAAAAGTGTTATAAAGAATTGAGTATTTAATAGAAGCAAATGAAAAGCTATTTTCTTTAAGCAGAGACATGAGAGTGGGCCAAGGAGGAAGAGCCGGGAATCACAAGCATGTCCGGGGCATGGGCACATGTGTGAACTGAAGTATAGGACACATATGGGGGAACAGGAAATAATGCAAAGGGGACAATAAGAAAGGCCGTCCAAGGCCCCTGACTGTAGCTTAACAATTAGACTTTTTATGACAGGCAGAATGGAAAAGCTATTAGAAGTACTTTAGGTAGAGGCATTAGATAGATCAACATTCTGCTTTCTGAAAATAAACCTGAAAACCCTATGCACCATATACGTGGAGAGGTCAGCAGTAAGACAAGGGTGCTTAGGGTACAGGAGAGAACGCTACATTGTGGCAGTGCAGACAGAGAGAAGGGGACAGCTGGCATGGGAGTCCTGCATTTCTGTTATCTAGGTAAGAAATGTGGCCCATTATGTGAATCTGTGATTTTTGTGCACTTTTAGCCCTATTAAAAGAAAAAAGCTGCTTAACACTTTCATGCCATAAGTATTTAATAATAAAGATCTTCTAAAATGCCCATATGTTAAAAAACAGTACATCTAAGTAAAATTAGTAAAATTAAAAATCTGTAGACTTAAACATGAAGACTAAATTAAAGATAGTCAGGTATTTGGACCAGCAGATGGTGTAATGGTTATGTTGCTGGACTCACACATAGTTGACCGTGGTTTGAGTACTGGACCTGGCAGCTTAAAAACTCATGACAGGTGTGTGTGCATGCATGCCGAAAATCTTGAGAAGAATGGAGAAAAAGGGATCGCAAAGTGGTCATCTCCCCTGGGAGGTGACTTCTCACTTTCTTTCTGTCTGTCTCTCCAGCAAGTGCACGTGTGCTATAGGAAAAATCTCTCTTCTTTAAAAAAAAAGTAATCAGGTTTTATCTAACTAGAAATTTTAGCTTCAGGATAGAACATAGCAACATAGTTGACATTTTCTGGACTGTCTAATTTTTATCCTATCAAGTATACACTGTGATAACGAAGTGCTACTGGATTAATATCTTTCAATTTAAAATAAACTTACGCTCTCCGGTCATGGTCTATTCTGTTTATTTTTCCACCAATGAATACTCTGATCTTACAATCTTTCCACTTTTTCTTGGTAGTCAGAAGATAAGGAATCAATAAGGTCAAACCTGAATTATAAAAACATAACAAATCATTCACTAAATGCTATTTCTCAATCAAGAACTCTTAATTCAATTTAGTCTCTAAAAACGCATTTACTACAACTCAGTATTAAACAAAATTCTGTTTTTTTTCTTTATACTTCAGTCAAAAAGCCATTAAAGAGGCCTGAACAAAAAGGGAGGCCCAGGGGAATCAGGGCCCACTTGAGGAGGACAGCCGAATTGATAGTGGCCTGGCAGCATTGCAGATTAGTCACATATAGGAGGAATGAAGAAATGTGTTTCGCTGACCCTAAAGGAAGCCAAGCTACCCAATGAAATGAGAAACATGTAAAGGAGAAGCTGAACTGACCCTGGTTTTGGATCTCTACCTTTATGTACACACACGTACATTTCCTACTTCTGTCCTCCGAGGGCCTGCAAGTAGCGATAGTCTGCAAGTGTATCTGATGCCCTGATCTTTGCTTCTAAACACTATTCTCCACTAAAAGGAAGCAGGGCTCCTTGGCTAAAAGGTTGCTTCCTATGCTGGGACAAGGAAAGCACAAAACTATAAAAGTTAGTGTGGAATTATCTTGTGTCAATGCAAAGAATGATCAGTACATAACAAATGGAAACAGAAATCAGCCCAGGGTGAATCCTACTGGTTAAATATGGGACAAAACAAAGAACAAGAGGGACCAGCAGTTAGCGTAATGGCTATGTCGCTGGACTCCCACGTAGTCGACCGCGGTTCGAGTCCCGGACCCGGTGGCTTAAACTCACGCCGGGCGTGTGTGCCCAAGATCCTGAGAGGAGAATGGAGGAGAAGGGATTGCGGCGTGGCCATCCCCCCTGGGGGGTGATTTCCTGCTTTCTATCTCTCTCTCTCTCTGTCTGTCTGGCGAGCGCACGCGCCCTATAGCAAAAAAAAACCTCTCCAAAAAAAAAAAAAAAAAAAACAAAGAACAAGAATTACAAATTATATCCCATTGTATAAAATAAGTGGCAATGCATTCACACTGATGGAAATAAAGAGAAAGCTCTTCCTTACAGGAAAATCATTGTCTGGCAACCACAACAATAAACTCAGGCAGAAACGTCAACGGATACTATAGATGGAGGTAGGTTTACAAAAAGAATGGCATATTTACAGTCTCAAAGTTAACGCCTCATGCCCCAACCCCCCCACCCATAATTATCAAGGTGGGGTGAAAGGTACTTTTCAGTTGATAAACCCAATGAAAACCACCTTACTCGGGATCAGCAGTTAGCATAATGGCTATGTCCCTGGACTCACACGTGGCCGACCGTGGTTCGAGTCCCGGACCCAGTGGCTTAAACTCACACTGAGCACGTGTGCATGCGTGCCCAAGATCCCAAGAGGAGAATGGATAGCGGCATGGCCACTCCCGCTCCCCGGGGGGGGGGGGATTTCTTGCTTTCTGTCTCTCTGTCTTTCTGGCGAGAGCACACACCCTATAGCAAAAAAAAAAAAAAAAAAAAAAAACTTACTTAAAATTCAAAGTTAATGTCACCAGTGGTAGTGTGGAACTAATTATGATGAAACATCAAACAGTACTCCAAATTGAGTGACATTCTACAAAATGGTCTGCAATGTTAAAAAGCTGTTAGTCATGGGACTAGCAGACGGCATAATGGTTATGTTCCTAGACTCCCATGTAGTTGACTGTGTTTCAAGTCCTGGACCTGGTGGCTTAAAACTCACACCGGACACATGTGCATATGTGCTCAAAATCCTGAGAGAAAAAGGGGTTGCAGTGTGGTCATTCTCCCCTGGAGGGTGACCTTGCTTTCTGTCTCTCTGGTGACTACATGCACCCTAGAGCAAAAATCTCTATTAAAAAAAAAAAAAAAAAAAAAAAAAAAGTCATGAAGGGCACATGTGAAGAATGCCCAAAATCCTGAGAGGAAAATAGAGAAGGGATTGTAGTGTGGCCATGCCCCCAGGGGGTGATTTCTCACTTTCTGTCTACCTGAGGAGCTCAGGTGTACTGTAGCCGAAATCTCTCTTTAAAAAAAAAAAAAAACACCCAAGATGTCAGTCATGAAGCAGAAGGGAGTGGTAAGCAACATCTAGGTTGGGACAACTAAGTGCTGGCCTGATTCTGAAATTAATCTTTCTGCTTTGACAAACGTCGGCAAAACCTAAATGGAATCTGTAGGTGAAGAGTACATGCTATTTCTTAGCTCAGTTATCATTTCAATAAATGTAAAATTTAAAAAAAAGCATATTAACAACCTTACCTCCATCATCAAAAAGCCACCAGACGTCAATAGTATTCTTCCCTTGTTTTTTCTGAAACTGTGTACTAGCTTCAAGAAGCTTTTGGTCGGCTACATTTAAAGGCACAATAGGGCCTTTGGATTCTAAAAAATTAAGCAAAAAATAAGATGTAAGGGAAGCAAATATCAAAGGCTTTCTTACAGAATGCCTAACTTGTGCATACTCAAATATGTCTGTAACAGACAGTTGTGCATGACATTCATCATGATCTTTCACTTGTTTATCATTTAATATACTTTAAAAATGGCTACAGATAATTACTTCTTTAGCTGAACAAATCCAAATTAGGTTGCCTAATTTCTAATATTTTGAAGCATTCTGAATTGAAAGTGAATCATAGATACCAATCAAACAACACTTGAACCAATCAAAAGACTTATACTTGACTGCTAGGTAGGTCTCATTGTTTGGTAAAACTGTTTCAGGTTAAATGAGGAAAACAACTAACTTTTCCATTGCAATATTTCCTTTGCAATCTGGTATCTCAATAATTTAAAGTTCAAAAAATTATTTAAATGAAAGTTGTTACTTATAACATAAATGACTGTAAGAAGCTGAAGCTATTCTAGCACAATCTCATGATTACCACAGTGATTCCTTAGCCTAAGGAAAATCTCTCTCTCATCTTCACTTCTATCTCTCATCCTTTCAATATGTGAGGTCCCATTTAACAGCAATGTAACAACATCTTTCTCTAAACCACAGAAAGATGGCGGGAGCTCCTTGGCAAAGCACTCATCTGCTGCAGATTTAAATGACAATACACCAAGAGAGTTCCCATTTATAGTACCAGGAACTAAAAAAAAAAAAGAAAAAGGAAACAACCAAAAAAACAAGAACAAAAACCAAATAGCATTGGCTCTGTGAGCAAGCAAATGAGTATTATGAAACTCCTACATCAAAAATGTGAAAGCAGAAACCCACAGGAGGGAATCTGATCACTCTGCAGATGTCTCATTCACTCCATGCTGCCATGATGCTTGCGAACATGACAAATGGCTTTGCGTGATGACATGATATGGCTACCAAACCACACTGCTCCGTAACTCTCACCTCTATCTCCTTCTCATAAAATTCATGTACGTTGACATGACTGTGTATCTCCCAAACGTAGCACGACTGTGAGAAATAGTGTAATTTTTGAAATGAAAAATATATTAGTATCAAAATTGAGGACCTGGCTGGGTACAACTGATGGTAAAGAATGCAAGTGACTCTGTAAATAAGCCCATTTCAGTGTCCCTACTAATCATCTAAACTATGAAGTTAAAATTAAAATAATAAAAATTAATGCTGACTTTAAGGATTTCAATATTCCAGAAATACTATGATTCAAAAGAATTTGTCTGTTGTATTTCACCTTTTCCCAGAAGATTTAACTCTTTAGTTGGACTAATGATAATTCTTCTAATCTGCATTTAATAGATAACTGTAACATCACCTCACCATGGAAATAAAAATTAATGTAAAAAAATTAACAAATTTAGAGTTAAAGAGTTAACGACATGAAAAAAGGGAATAAAATAAAATGATGGAAAATGCCTGCCTTTTTTCAACAGTGGTTGAGTTGGAGTCTTGCCATCCTCTTCCTCATCTAGATTATGTTTAAAAAACACAAAATATAAGTTAATTGCCTTTATACTGATGAAATAATGAAAACGTATATAGCACATTTACAAACAAAACATAGTCTGAAGCAACAGTCCATGAAAAAGAATTTAAGACTGAAGATTAATATTTCCAATATTGTTCTAGATATTTGAGACCTCCCCCCCCTACAGGGTGACTGATTTAATATTCACCCTTAAATTTTATTCTTGTAAAATTATCAAAAAACTTCCTTTTTTTTTAAAGCTTTAAAGTTTTCATACCATAAATCAGTTGAAAAGAGGTTGACTATGGCTTTTAGAGGATAAATATACACTAAAAGATATTACAGATAATACATAAATTTTTCACATGTCACTGCATCACTATGCAAATGACTGAAAAGCAATTTTACAAATATTTAATGGATATATGATATTTGCAAAAAGTAGCTACTTGAAATATTAAGGACTTTGATCAGAGACGGAAGTCTTTTGCTTTATATAAAATGCCTGGTTATACAGGAGTGGTTTTTTTTTCAAATTCATAAATTTATATATGCACGTGTATATGTGTGCATTTATTCATCCATAAAGATTTTTGGTGGTTAACAGTCTTCCTGACTTTTTGTTTTCTTAATATAAGCCTATATTATTTGTTAGTTTAAGACATATAAAACTCCAGACTCGGACAAGCAAAGCATGTTGCAGTAGGCTCGGTGCCCTAAGACTCCCAAGATTACAATGTTTTCACTATCCCCTTTAACTCGCTGTATAGGCTTGAGTTAGTTAGTTAATGCCTGACTTGTCTGATCTGCAGAAAAGGTTAACAGTACCTACCTCTTAATGCTGTTATATTGGCATTATCAATGTATTAAAGCTCAGTGCCTGGCACTAAGTAAGTATTCAGAGGGTAATCTTTTTGTTCTCTTGCACAGTGTATTTTAAAAACCAAGACAGATATACCAAATACTAGAAATATATATTAACTATAGCAAGAATGTTTGTAATTCTGAAGACTTCTAAAACTGTATTAACTTTTCTGTTACCTATACTAATTTTGAGAAAAACTGACTAAACAGAAAAAGACAAATCAAAATGAATGCTACTTCTGAATGCTAATTCTTATGCCTGTTACGGAAAAAGAACCAATTGTTACATTTAATTCTACAGTATTAAATACTGTTTTTATAAAATAGATATGTAATGGTATATGTCTTGACAATAAAAAACTATGGAAATTCTGACTCATTACAAAGAGTCAGAAATGTCAATGGCATCTTGGCCTTTAAGCGCAATTTAAACTAAAGGCTTTTAGATTTTTACAATAAAATAGATGGGTAGAAATAAATGTACTGACTCTGTTTCCTATTCTGTAAGAAAAACAACTTCCTAAGACTGCGACACATCCATTGACTCATTGCAAAGAGTCAGAAATGTCCATGGCATCTTGGCCTTTAAGCGTAATTAAACTAAAGGCTTTTAGATTTTTACAATAAAGTAGATGGGTAGAAATAAATGTACTGGTTCTGTCTCCTACTCTGTAAGAACAACTTCCTAAGCCTGCGACACATCCATGAGTTATTACACGAACAACATCTATTGTAATGTGGATGCAGGGGGGATGCCTGATAACATTACTTCCTCCCCTCCATTACAACTGTATCTATTAGTTCCTATCAGATTCTGTAGAGAAAAGATCTGTTTTAGGCAAGAGGAAAGAACAACAAAAATCTAAAAGAATGAATACCATAAACTAAAGTAAATGAGGAACAAAAAGGACAACCATCAGAATCAATTTATAGATTTCTGAGGCAAAATAGAGAAAAGAAAAAAAAGATAATCAAGCTAGGGAAGAACTGAAAGGAAAAACAGGTGTCAACTAAAGTTTCAACCAGTACTACTCTAAAGTAAACAAGGTAAGTGAGAAGAAAAACCAATAGCTGCCATGCCTCAAAATAACATAGAAGAGATAAACAGCACAGAAACATGATTTGTTCAAGATTATGGATTTCAGAAAAACAATGATAATTATTTTGCAGGAATCAAAAGCATTATATGGTTTGATGATTTACAGTGCAGATTTTTCCTTATCGTGTCAGCTGGCACTAGGACAGATGGAGATACTAGACTCAACAGAGGTAGGAGAGTGAGGGTGGACAGTAAGATTTGGAAGTCATCTCTTTTTCTTCTCATAAATATGACATTCAGACTTCTGGATGAAACGAAATTATCACGTTCTTTCGAGGTTCAGATTTAAAGTATGCTTCATAGTAAGATGTTTTATTTAAAGCAAATGTAACTAAAACACTCAATAACCCACGGTGGTTTCTGTTCTATGATTTACTTTAATATCTTAAAATAACTAGTCATTTTGTAGCCATTTTTGAAAGCCATAAATTTAACTTGGCCAATTAGAAATAAATAGTGCAAATTTAAGAATAGGTAAGTGTATAAGATACATACTAAAAACCTTTTTCCTCACAAATTAAAACATTACCATTCACAAAATTTCTTGTTTGATGAAAATTACCTTTCTGTTTAACAATTTTTTCACATTGTTTGGAAGTATCTATATCCGATTTTTTACTATACTCCATACTTAGTACTACATCCTTGGCACCAGGAGATTTCTCTTGTGATGACAATAATTCTTCTGTAGACACAAAAAATTTGATTATTACCAAAATCGTATTTTAATTGTTAAAGAAGGTATGGTTTAGTAACTAAATATTTTAAAGCGAAGTTTGTTTATTACAAATGATTTCTTAGGTAAACAATTGTGAATCTCTCTGAAATGATCATTCACTTAAATATGTGAGCCACAACTAAAAGTCAGATATGTTAATTAGGTGCTAGGGAATCAGTAATGAGTGAAGTTCATCCAATAGTAGACTCTGGTGGACAGACTCATATGCAGTAAGTGAATCATCAACTTGACTCTCAAAGCCAATTATACATATTAAAAATGTACAGTGTGACAAAGGTTCACAGGCCTGGAAGATGACAAACAACACTGAAAATGTTTACACATGACTATAAAGTCAAGATATAGTCTTTTCCTAAAATTCATGGAAAAAAGTATTACTTCTTTGTTTTTAAAGCAGCTTCTTAATTTTATTATTTTGGTAAAGAGATAGAGAACATTTATTATCTTCTGTCCTAAAAGTTACCATACAGGCAGACACACTGTGAAGTAGATTATCTGCCCATAATTGTCATCACTTACTTGTGTGATTGAAGAGAAACAATAGACACTGTGTGAGTCTGGGTGCTAACACCATCCGAGAGCTCACAGGCCTTTATCTCCATTTTAATTTCCACAAAGACCCACATGTAGTAACTACACTTTGACAGAGGAAGAAATTGAGGCTTGAAGTCACCAAGTTTGCCTAGGCTAAAACTTCTAAAAGAGAACACTGGGATTTTAAAAGCGGATCTGCCTGACTTCAAAGCCTATTCTCTTAACTCCTATGCTACACCAAATTCCTGTCTGCAAATCTTGATTAACAGTGAGGCTTTCAAAAACATTTACAAAGGGCTGGCAGGTGATGTGGTAGTTAAAGGCGCTGGACTCCCACATGGCTGAAGGCAGTTTGAGTCCCAGACCTGGCGGATTGCTTTCTCTTTTTCTCTCTGGTGAGTACAATGCCCTATAAAACAATAATAAATAAATAAATAAATAAATAAAATTAGGTGAATAATTATTATTTTTAAATTTCTTAGTCCTTAAAAATAAGAGAAAACACTTTTCTGAAGTTTAAATCACATTCAAACCTCAGTAAATGATAGAATTATAAGATTCATTAACCAAACTGAAATATATCTGCCAGCAAAAGGGAATACTACTAACGATGATACATAATCAATAGGTGTAAGAAGTACGGGACCTTAAACCTAACCACTGTCAAAGTAAGAGAGAACTGCAATGGTACTGTGCCAGCCCTACTCCAGAACACAGACAGGCATTTTTAGTAAGCCATATGTTTTTGTCATTTGAATAAAGACCTCAAAGTGTTTATTTCAAAAGTGCAGACTACACTTAAAAGGGTGAAGGGAATAAAACAATTTAAATACATAAACAGTCGACACAAGCTCACAACATGTCTCTTAGCTGTATAGGCTCAGCTAATTTTGATAATTTGTTTATGTAACTAATAGATAACAGTAAAGTAAAAGATACGCAAATTTTTATTAACCTTATTTTTTTTTTTGGAGAGATTTTCACTGTAGGGCGCGTGCGCTCGCCAGGCAGACAGAGAGAGAGACATAGAGACAGAAAGCGAGAAATCACCCCCTAGGGGGGATGGTCACGCCGCAATCCCTTCTCCTCCATTCTCCTCTCGGGATCTTGGGCACGCACGCACACGCGCCCGGCGTGAGTTTTAAGCCACCGGGTCCAGGACACGAACTGCGGTCGACATGGGAGTCCAGCGACATAGCCATTATGCTACCTGCTGGTTCCCTAACCTTATTTTTTAAAACTACCAGTAAATCATTAAGAGATATAAAAATTTTCAGAGTTTTTCTGAGAAAGTTGGCAAAAGCAGTAACTATATCTGAATTAGTTTTTAATGATTTAATTCACTTTTTTAGGGAGTCAATTTTGCTATAAGGCGCATGTGTTCAACAGAGAAAGACAAAGAGACAGTGAGAAATCACTCCTCAAGGGACATGGCCACACTGCAATCTCTTCTCCTCCATTCTCTTCTCAGGATTTTGGGCACACACATGCGCACCCGGTGTGAATTTTAGGCTGACGGGTCGAAGACTCAAACCATGGTCCACTAAGTGGGAGTCCGGCAATGTAACCATTACACCATATGCTGGTCCCAATTAATTTATTTCTAATTTGACCAGAGAGAAAGTGAGAAAGGACACCACCAGATAGGAGTGAGCACCTTAAATACCAGGCCACTTGCTGGCCCATCCTTAATTAGCTGGCCCACCCTTAATTAGGTTTTAACCTTCATTTAAAAAAATGCTTTAAAAGAGTTACATACTGTTTTTTTTTTTGAAATGTTTTTGCTATAGGGCGCATGCGCTCACCAGCCAGACAGAGACAGAAAGCGAGAAATCACCCCCTGGGGGAGTAGGGTGCCCATGCCACAATCCCTTCTCCTCCATTCTCCTCTCGGGATCTTGGGCACGCACGTACACGCGCCTGGCATGAGTCTTAAGCCACCGGGTCTGGGACACGAACCGCAGTCGACTACGTGGGAGTCCAGCGACATAGCCATTATGCTAACTGCTGGTCCCTATACTGTATTATTATTTAGGTAACATTGGTGACATGACAAAATCATACAGTGATGATGGGGGAAGTGGGGTGGGACATGGAGTAGTACAGGGAAATCTTGGTAGTGATGAAACACTTCTGCATGCTGACTGTGGCAGTGGTCACCCAGATTGACATGTGGTAAACTAAGAACTACACGTACACAAGTGTGAATGGTGAAATATGAAATCTGACTGTGCCAATGTCAAGTCCCTAGTTTTGACATGGTGCCATAGACATGTAACACGTTATCACTGGAGGGAAACCGGAAGAAGGGTGCACAGCACTTCTGCACATAATCTTTTTGCAACTTCTTAAGAATCTATAAATCTTTTTAAGTTTTTAAAATTTTTAATTTTTTTTTTTTAATTTGCTATAGGCCATGTACACTCATCAGAGAGAAACACAGAGAGAGAGACAGACAGAGAAAGCGAGAAAGCAAGTCAGCAGGTCCAGGACTCAAACTACGGTTGGCCATTTACCTTACTACCAGGGCACATGCTGGTCCCTTCAGGTAAAGTTTTTAAAAATGATTTATTGGGTCTTTTCTGAAGACAGATATAACATTAAGGCAGAATTTAGTTTTTCATCAATGACTGTGTACAAAACATTACTTTTGTAAACATGAAGATACCTAATAGGCTGGTAGTCTTTAAAATTTTTTTCTCAGAATTATTAACATTATTTTTATAAATTTGATAAGTCAACAATTATAAAGAACATCTGCTTCTCTTAAGTTTATGATTTTGAACGAATTTTATCCTCTCTACTAATAATCACTAATCATCATCCACCCAGGCTGGTACAGAGAAAACACTCTGGTGAATGCAAACAGAGCTGATCTCAATATGCCATACAAGACATTCATGACAGATGGGATGGGAATTATTAAGCATAATGATTTTGTGAGAATTAGATGTTAACTTTCTACACAAAGTAATTTATATTGAAAAATATATATTTCAAACAAGATTTACCTTGTCCTTGAAGATGAGATATATCCAGTCCTTCTTTTAGGCGAATAACCACTACTCCGTATTGTATGTCAAAGGCGTCACTATAATGGGGGGAAAATTACAAAATATCTTGTCTATGCTTTTTATAAAATAAGGCAATAATAGGTGATCTCTAAGATCATTCTCAGTCTAAGATCTGATTTTTTTTTTTTTTTTGGAGAGGTTTTTGCTATTGGGCGCATGCGCTTGCCAGAAAGACAGAGAGAGACAGAAAGCGAGAAATCACCCCCCAGGGGGGATGGCCACGCCGCAATCCCTTCTCCTCCATTCTCCTCTCGGGATCTTGGGCAGGCACGCACGCACACGCGCCTGACGTGAGTTTAAGCCACTGGGTCCGGGACTTGAACTGCAGTTGACTATGTGGGAGTCCAGTGATGTAGCCATTATCCTATCTGCTGGTCCCTCTAAGATCTGATTTTAAATATGCTTTAAAGATTAATTGGTGAGATACACATTAGTTTCAAAATCCTACACTATTTTCTTTTTGGTCTGAAATACTCTAGGAAACTACTGAAGCACAGCTCTTTAAAGTACTGACTGGCGTTTTGACTACAGTGGCTGTTTAAAGCAGTAATGCAATTCTAATCCTACAAAGTAAAATTATGGAAAAACAAGTAATTCAACCACATTTACATTTAGGCTTATTCCCTTGAAGTCAAATCTCTGACGACAAAAGAGGAAAAAAAGAAAAAAAGGAACAACAGATTCTATTAAGAATGACAGCAGGTATGAAGACATTATTTCTGAAAGGAAAGAGGAGATTTTTACAATAATATTTTAACTTTTACAAAATTGATTTTAAAAAGGTCTGAAGCTTTTATATGTATTTGCACACATATATTCTTACCTACTTTTAATTTTTTAAAACACAAATGGGAGCATCCTATCCATATAAAAAAAATACCTTAAAACCTTAAAGACAGCTACAAAACCAGACAAAGTCTAGACATTTTATAAAACCATAAATCTTTAATTTGGCCCAAGTTTTTCCTCAAATCTACCAAAAGAACTTTAAATTCCAAAACATCAGGCTGTTCTCTAAGAGTAGTAATAGACTTAATCTTTAATTATTATTTTTAATTACACAAATAATTGATATTTACTACAGGCACATGAAAAGTAATGAGGTACTTACACAAGGCTTAGTATAAGAACAAGGCTAAAATCTAATGAAATGGTCAAGTTACTGTTTCCACTGACAAACAGAAGATGTGTTCAGAAGGAATAATATGTGGTTATAGAAAGTTTTCTGTTATTTTGGTTTTTTGTTTTGTTTTGTCTTGTTTTGGTTACTTAAATCATGTAGATACAAATTAAACTTATTATTTTTTGTGACTTAACTAAGGTCAAAAAGAGAATCACTGGGAAAAAATTTTTAATAGACATGTTAACCTTTCTCAGATCTTATCCTGAAAGGCCTAATTAATATTAGAGAAGAAATCATTATACGTACTAAAATAAGAATAGTCAATAAACTGAATCACAATTAACTTCCTTAAAGGAAAGTCAGGAAATACAACTTCCTAATACGGCTATTTATGCTTGATTAAAACAGCTAAGTATTTTTGCAATAAGCTATAAAAATTGATGTGCGGTTTCAGACCTCACATTCTGTTAATAAGAGAATATGTAAAACATACCTCAATTGTACAAGGTACGTAAACAAAACGTTAGGGGAAGTACCACAAGATAAAATGTCATAGGCATTTTTTTTATTTATTTACTTTAATATGACCAGAGAGAGAGAGAGAGAGAGAGGGAGAGGTAAAGCCATGTCCCAGACTCAAACACAGCCAGCCATATGGGAGTTCAGCACCTTTACCACCGCACCACCTGCTGGCCCCAAAGTGTCATAGCTTTAAAACTGTCAATTTCCTTGGATCTAAAAATCAGAGTAATATTTTGCTAATCCTTTCATTGCTGCCTGATGGACAGTATTGGAATAATATTTAACTTTGAAAGGCAACATTTACTTTACTTCCTATATGGTCAGAGTCAGAAAGACACTTGGTGTCCCATTTTGAGCAACTACAACCAGTAACATGGCAAGTATATGAAAGCGTTACTTGTGAAATGTCACTTTTTCTCTTTTTTAGGATAACTACTCCATCTCACTGATGATGAGCTTTGAATAAGAAAAAGGCCACAGCTGATGGCCTGGATGGCTCATGACCCACATTATTTAACCTTATTTCCACTGTCTTTCTTGCCCTAATCCCCATATGTACAGAGCATAGAATTAGAAAGCCAAAATGAGATTTTGCTTACAAAGAATAAAACTGCGAAGAGTAGTCACAACATATACAACAAATCAGCAGAGTTTTAATTTTACTAAAAGCATTTCTAAAAATTAGTTGAGAGGTCTTGTTCATATACATTCTTAGTCAATGTACAGAGGGTTTTGTTTTAGAGGTAGAGTATGAGGGTCCAGTAGGTGGTGTGGGGGTTAAGGCACTGGACTCCCCACATGGTCGACCACAGTTCAGGTCCTGGACCTGGCAGCTTGCTTTCTCACTTCCCTTCTCCTTCTCTGCCTCTCTCTCTGGTGAGTGCATGTGCCCAATAGCAAATTTTAAAACAGTAACTCAGTGAGAGAAGGGTAATCATATCAAAATTCATGGAGAAAACAGAGCTTAAGTTTTTACCTTGAAGCTACTTTACTAATTTTGTTTTGTCTTACTTTAAGGTTACTGGGGTTCAGCTCCATCTTGCCACAATAATGCACGCTTCTCCAAAGAAGCCGGGTCCCACAAGGCAATCATTGTTTAAATCCCCGGCCTGCTCAGCCTGAAACACACCGGCCACGACATGCATGCTCCAAATCTGACAGGCTGGAGGATCAGACACTATAGAAAACGGCCTAATGGTCTCTCTCCCCCTTTCTCTGTCTATCTCTCTCTCTCTGACAAACACACACACACACACACACACACATACACACAGACGCGCGTGCGCACATAAGGACTTTATCTTTAATAGAGAGCTTGGGTCTCTTACCAACACCTGCCCTCTCCCCAAGAAAGGATAATCATTTGCATATGAAAAATACTATTTTTTTCTATGTTTTTCTATGCAAGAGTGCATCATGACTATTCTCAATATAAATACATATTTGAATACTAATATGTGTGTTGGTATAAAAAGTACAGATCAATAAAAAATTTTTGTTAACATAGCATCAATTTAAAACCTGAACACCTTATGTTGATTCTTTTCATTTCGGTATGTTTTCTATTACAAGAGACTGAGAAACAGGCTTCAAAAACTAGGGCAAGCTTTCAAAATTAACATTTTTTTGAACAAACTAAATTACCAAAATAAAAATACTTACTGAAATAAGTTTATATACATATCCACATCTCTCATATCTGCTTGCAACCAATCTTTCTTAAACCCAAGAACAAGTGTGTTTGGTTTCATACGACCAAGACCAGCAGCCTAAAATGTAGAATAAACACAACCTTAAATATACAGTATTTAAAAAAAAAAAAACAAACAAAAAACACTACACCATGCAACAAAATATTTTCTTAGAGGATGAAATCCTCCAAATTGATTGCCTCTATACATTATACACCCCATTAGCAAAAATTCTTGAGCATCCAATACATGCATATGTACTTATAAATTACATATATGACACGGAGTCCATATAGTACTGGACTCCCACGTGGCTGATCACAGTTCAAATCCTGGACCTGGTGATTTGCTTTCTCACTTTCTCTCTCTCTCTCTCTCTCTCTCTCCCTCTTTCTCTCTCTCTCTCACTGATCAAATTAAAATGAATGAATGAAGCTAAATAAAATAATTTAAGAAAAAGAATAAAGAAATAAGTAGTAATGTACCTCTCACACAGCTAAGAAAATAAATACTGGAAACACATGCAAAGCATCCCTGTGCACCTCATGCTGTCTTTCTATTTTCACTATGTATGATGTATTATATTGGATCATTGGGGAAGTCATGATGCATTTTTGCATAGAAAAACATAAAAATATGTCATAACTTTTCTGACAACCTAATATTATTCAGGGATATATACATACATATACATACACATTTTAACATATATTTTTGAAAGTCTGTAAAATCTTCATGTTGCTCACATACTTTTTTAACTTGTTAGAGTTATTTTTAATCTATTTTTGAGGTTTTACATATTGACATGTATAGTTCCTGTTCCCACTCAATGATTATATTGCAATTCTTAATTTTGCAACTGATGATTATTGACGGTACTGTCAATTCTTTTTCACTATTACAAATGGCGTTGCTATGGACCCTCAACATGGTCTTCTGCACATGGGCCCACATGGTGTTTCTAGTGTTTATTTTCTTGGTTGGGTGAACTGTCCTCGAATATTCACTCCTTCAAATTTGCAAGATATTGTAGATAGTGGTCCAATCTAAATTATCATAGCAGTTCAAAGATTTCCAGTTGTTTTACACCATTTTTAACACTTTGCATTGGCAGACTTAGTTTTTGGTCAATCTGTTGGATTTGGAATAAAACTTCATTGTAGTTTCAATTTTCACTTCTCAGTGAGTTTTCCTCTTCAGTTTATATCTTTCATGGATTTTTTTCTTTTATAGACTTACAGTATTTCTCTATATCTTATGGACTATATTCTTTTGCTAGTTAATGTCAGCATCACTATCTTCCCACAGTCTTCCTGTTTTGGTTTCATGTTTTCTTTAGAAGCTAAAAGGTTTTTTTTTTTAAAGATTTGTTCCATTTTATTTATTATTATTATTATATTTTTTATTTTTTTTCTAGGTTGCGAGAGAAAGAGAGGGAAGAAAAATGAGAAAGCAAGTCTCCAGGTCTCGAACTGCAGTTGGCAATGTGGGAGTCAAGCTCCTAAACCACCATGCCACCTGCAAGCCCCAAGAAGCTCAAGGTTTTAAACTTTAACTAAAATTTGATCCCTTCTTTATAGTTTGTTTTGCATTTTATCTAAAATAAATTACTTTTTTCTAGTTTCAGATCACAAAATTATTTAATATTTTCTTTTAAAATTTAAAAATTTGCTTTTTATAGTTAGGTCTCTAACAGGAACTTTTCTTTTTAGAGAGACTTTTGCTATAGGGTACATGTACTAAATGGAGAGACATAGACAGAAAGTGAGAAATCATCCTCTGGGGGGCGAAGAGATGGCCATGCCACAAGACCTTCTCCACCATTCTACTCTTGGAATTTTGGGCATGCACGCACACACATGCACTCAACATGAGTTTCAAGCCTCCGGGTCTGGGACTTGAACTGTGGTCGGCCATGTGGGAGTCCAGCCACCATAACCACTACACCACTTGCTAGCCCCAAGGAAATTATTTTTTATAGGTCTTCATAAGGATCTATTTCATTACCTTTGCACATGGACAATCAATTGTTTCTGTCAATCCTTTTAATGCCATCTCTCTCATGTTAAATTTGCTATATAAGTGGATTTATTTCTTCTGTTTTGCACCTTTCATCTACTCATCTCTTGCTGCTTTAATACCAGTCTTAGCACGGTTTTATGATAGGGCTTTATATCAGGGCAAAGCCAACCTAGCCCCCCTTTCCCCCCAATTTATTCTTCCTGAATCAGGTATCTTAAGATTACCTTGGCTATCCTTAACATGTTCTAAGAAACAGAAAACAAAAAGGGCTGGGGGTGAGACTCTGAGCCTCTCCTATCTATTTAAAATGGTAGCTCCGTAACTGGGTAGTTAACAGAGAGTCTGTGATTCAGCTCTTTTTTAAATTAAGAAAGGTGTGCCTGAACAGTGTCTCAATACATTTATTTGTCCCTACAACCTTTAGGACCAAGAGGATTTGAAGGATCTGAGGTTCAGAGAAGTAACTTCTCAATCCAAAACCTGTAAGTAGGAAATGGTATACTAACATTTAAACCTACAACTGATTTCAAATCCCCTATTCTGGCTACTATATCATACAAAAAGTTGAAACAAAGCCTAAATTCAGTACAAAATTAGATGAAGACTGCCATTAATTAACACTTTTATTTTATAAAAATACCAATGGAGGGCCAGCCAGTGGCCTGGTTGGTTAAGGTGGCTAAATCCCATATGGCCCACTGCTGGGTTTGAGTCCCGGTCCTGGTGGCTTGAAAAACATGCTGTGTACCTGTGTATGTGCACCCAAAATCCCCAAAGGAGAAATGGAGGACTGTGACATGGCCATCCCCCATGAGGGGGGTGCTCTCTCACTTTCCCTCTTTCTGTGTGTCTCTCTCTAAGCCCATGAACTCTCTACGCAACTCAAAACATAACAAAACAAAAACCAAGACATACACAGAGTGGGATGCAGCAGGAAGTGAATGCAAAATATTTTATAGGAGGGCAAAAGGCTAAGATAATTTCAAATATAATAGGTTCTTTGCTGTTCTACAATAGCACAAAATTCCTATTGTCCCTTCAGTTCTAAATTATACAGATCTCAGTAGTATAAAAAAAAGATATTTTAAAAGGTTTGTAATTTGTATGAGACCTAAAAGGTTTTATACTCTCCCCCTTTGTTCTCAGTCAATAGACACTTGTCTGAGATATGTGCAGAGAGGACAGCACAAGCACATGCGGGAGAAAGCACCCGCACTGTACGGTCACGCTGTAATCCATTTCTCCATCCTGCTGGGGTTGGGGACATGCACACACAACTGGGGTGTTCCTTAAGCTGCTGGGACAGGATTTGAATTGCTATGTGCCATGTGGGAGCTGGCTCCCTTAACTGATAAACTGCAGAGCTGGCCCAGAAAAGGCTGATACAGGGGACCAGCAAGTGGTGTACTAGTTAAAGTGCTGAGTTCCCATGTAGCCAACCACAGTCTGAGTCCTGGACCTGGAGGACCGAAAATCTTGCTGGGCATGCATGTGTGCCCCACATCCCAAGAGGCGAATGAAAGGGACTGCAGCATGGCCAACCCCCCAGGGGGTGATTTCCAATTTTCCTTCTCTCTGTCTCTTTTGGTGAGTGCATATGTGCTATGAAAAAAACCAAAAAACAAAAAAAACAAACTTATGTTGATATAAAAGTGAACGGTAAGTATTTAAGAGCCATAACAAATTTACCTGCATTAGATACTGTGCACCTTCTCTCAAGTCATCTGCATGTACTGGAGCATAAAATGCCTTCATTTTGTTTTTAATAAGCCATCGCTGATACTTAATTTGATCAATTGACATCTCTTTCATGGCTTGCCTTCGAGGACCCTTTGAATAAAAATATTAAGACTATCTTTAGTTGAAAGTTAATTTCACATGTATAACGATTCTATTATAATGGTTTGAAACAAGTTGTCTAAAAGTTGGCATGAAAGTATAATAATAGCATTCCATTTTTGTATCACCGAATCCTATGTAAGATTATAAAAAGGTACAGTTGATGGAATAGTTAAGGCACAAAGTATACCAGTAGAAAGAAGAGGAAGAAACAGACGAGAAAATAAAAAGCTCTGATCCTAGATAAACAGTAAATGAGAGAACTTAAAACTCCATGAAATGGAGAAAAGATTATCCCAAGCAAAATGAAACTTTTTATTTTTCTACAGAACATTTCCTAGCTTATTGTTCCAAATGTCTGACTCATTATTTCTTAGTAACTTGAGAATATAATTATAAATCAAACAGAGCTATATAGCAGTAATGTAATTTTTCCTCTTACATTCCTTAATGGATGAAATAACAAAAGAAAGGAAATGAGCTTGGTTAAATCAATTTTATTTGATCCTTGGAAATAACACATAAAAAGTTTTATATACAAATAGATAAAGCAAAATCTAAAAATAAGTTTAAGAGAATACAGTTTAAACATGAATAAGTAAACAAAAAATACAGTTTATTTTTCCTAGTAGAAAAACTGCTCCATCTGTAATGTCTTGTGCTCAAGATCCTAACTTGAAGTGATCAGTCTGGAGACAAAACGCTACAGGCCCCAGTAGGGGCCGTGTCATAAAGTATGATCCTGCCCAGACCCTATCCCCCCACCCCCAACAGAGACTTGACTTTGCAACTTTACAAGCAATCAAGCATCTCTAGATGGGGCTGAGATGTGGGGCCTAACAACAAACATTTGAAGAACCAAAACAAGATGAACGGTGCTTGAGAAAAAGCCAATCTGTGGCCAGCAGGTTGCATGGTGTTTAGGGTGCTGGGTCCTATCTTGCCAACTTGGCAGTTTGAATCTCAGACCTGGCAATCTAAATAACACACCAGGCATGCGTGTATGCCAAGAGGAGAATGAAGAAGGGACTGTAGAGTGGCTCTGTCTCCCAGGGGGTGATTTCTCACTTTCCCGCTCTCTCCGGCAAGTACCCACACCCTATGAGGGAAAAAAAACCTTAAAAACAAACAAACAAACAAACTAATCTGACCAAAAAAATTCCAACTTCTCATGCAGAACTGGTTAAATCATTACTTAGTGACTATTCTCAACAATCAAGATGCCAAAAACAAAACAAAACACTTTTGGATGTAAGTTTATACTACTACTGTAAGTATATTTTTTTACACCTGGTTAAAACAAAAATGTATGAACAAATAAGTGCTTGAACTGGGTCAGCAGTTGGTATGGTAGTTAAGGTGACAGACTCCCACATGGTGAACTATGTGGTCTGAGTTCTAGACTCAGTGGTTTGAAAAACACACTGGGCATGTATGCTCAAAATCCTGTGTCTCTTCAGCAAGTGCATGGGTCCTGTAGCAAGTGAGTGGCATGGTGGTTAAGTCACTAGACTTTTACATGGCCGATCATGGTTCAAGTCCCAAATCTGGTAGCTTGCTTTCTCATTTTCCCGCATTCTCTCTCACTCTGTCTCTCTCTCTCTCTCTCTCTCTGGTGTGTGCAATGTGCCCTATACCAAATTAAAAAATAATAACAACAAATAAATATAATTAAATAAATCTTTTTAAAAAGGTGTTTGAACTTAGAAATTCAGCATTCACTTTTATATGAGACTTCTCACTCTAGATATTTTACTATGATATACCAACTTCTTCTAACCCCTATTTTTTTTCTTCTGGTAGGTAAGTAATGTTCCTCAGTCCTTTTTTAGGACATTATGAGATACGTTAATTTAAAAAAACTGAGTATTATTTTAGCTCCTTAGTTATCAGAAAGTAATTTTTCTTGGCACAACTGCTCTACAAGGACAATATAGACCACTAAAATCTACTCACAATATATTTTTTTAAAAAATGGAAGCTCGAAATGTCAAGCTCTTTAAAATACCACTTTCAGATTGTTTAGAGGAAAAAATACTTTGTAAAAAATTATCTTAAAATTAAAGAAAATCAGATTTATTTTTCAAATTATTTCTAATCTAGAAAGCTTCACAAATTACAAATAATATACAGAGTAAAAATATAGGCAGAGTAAAAATATTTTTTCTTTTAAAGAATTTTTTTTATTTAACTTTATTTATTTTAATTTGACCAGAGAAGGACAGAGTGAGTGAGAGAGAGAGGAGGAGGAGGAAGGGAAAGTGAGAAAGAAAGCTGCCAGGTCTGGGACTCGAACTGCAGTTGGCCAGGTGGGAATCCAGTGCTCTTTACCACCATGCCATCGGCCAGCCCCGAAAAATGTTTTAATATAGAAAATACAAATCGGTACTTACCATATGTACATGGCCACAGATCATTAAGCCAACATTCTTTGTGAAATCATGAACAAGATGAAGTAAAGCTGGGCGTGAGTTTGGAGCACCCGTCATAACAAGACACTGGGGCCTAATTTAAGACGAAAAAGATGAAATTAGAGAAGCCTGTGTGTTTGGCAACTAGGACATGATTTTACATATTTTCTCTTAAGAATAGCTTATTATGTAGAACCTTTTTTGGCAATTGTCTTTAAGACATAGGTGACAGGATTCTCATGGAAGATAACCTTAGAAAAAATTATTTATGGAGACCAGGAATTGGCGTAATGGTATGTTGCTGGACTCCCATGGAGTCAACCACAGTTTGAGTCTTGGACCTGGTGGCTTAAACTCATGCCAGGCGCGTGTATGTACATGCCCCAAGATCCCAAGAGAATGGAGGAGAAGAGATTGCAGTGTGGCCATCCACCCTGGGGAGTGATTTCTCACTGTTTGTCTCTATCTCTCTGTTTTTCTGGTGAGCACATGCGCCCTATAGCAAAAACCTCTCCCCCACCAAAATTATTTATTTTTATTTTTTAATTTGTTATAGGGCACCCACCTGTACTTACTAGAGACAATGAGATAGAGAGAGAAAGAGAGGAAAGTGAAAAAGCAAGCCACCAGGTCTGGGACTCGAACCATCATATCACCTGATGGACCAAGACACTTTTAACCAGGCCTTTTTGGTACATGAGAAATGCAGAAAGAAAACCATCCTGGAACAAATATCATGCCAAATGTCCCTCTAAAATAATAGGTAATATTAAACATCAAGATTCCATATTATAAAAAGAAATTACCTTGCTAGTTTAAAAGTATGTAAAAACTTTTCAAATTTTAGAGGTAATAAATACTCTAGCTCATCCATTGAGTTGCCTATACAAAACGGGTCACTTCTTACCTTGATCACATCATTAATTACTTCTACTTTGTGCTATAACTCTTTTTAATCCACCTTATTATCTTTTTTTCATTTGCTAGAGGGCGCATGTGCTTGTCAGAGAGGCAAAGAGAGGGGGAGGGAGGAAAGCACCCCCCATGGGAATTGGTTATGCTGTGACTTCTACTCCACCACCTCTCCCTCCTTTCAGGATTTTAGGCATGTGCACATTTCACCTGGTGTGTTTCTCAAGCTGCCAGGTCTGGGACTCAAACTGCGCAGTCTGTCATGTGGAATCTGGCTCCCTTAACCACCAAGCCAAGGAGCTAATCCTATTTTTTTTTTAAACTTTATTTATATTCTGAGAGGAGGGAGACAAGCACCCTCAAAAGGATCCTCACAGCATGATCCTCCCCAAACCCTATGGTCAGCCAGAATCAGGATGCGCCCTGTGCATTTAGGTAGACCTGGGACGTGAATCCACGGCCTTCCAACTTGGTTTCCTGCACCATGAACCACTGTCCTTCTGGGAGCCAGAACTCTGGTAGCAAGAACTTTGTTACCTATAGACAGGTTAAAAAGATTTTCTTCTGGCATCCAATTAGATCAAAAAGAAAGCATTTAGAACTGACTCAACCAGCCCATCACCATAGCACAGGGGTTAAACAGAGGGAGTTAGATCCCACATGGCTGGCTGTGGTTCAAATACTGACCTGGTGGTGGGGAACCAGCAGTTAGCGCAATGGCTATGTCGCTGGACTCCCACGTAGTCGACCGTGGTTCGCGTCCCAGACCCGGTGGCTGAAAACTCACGCCGGGCACGTGTGCGTGCGTGCCCAAGATCCCGAGAGGAGAATGGAGGAGAAGGGATTGCGGCGTGACCATCCCCCCGGGGGGTGATTTCTCGCTTTCTGTCTCTATGTCTCTTCCTGTCTGGCGAGCGCCCGCGCCCTATAGTGAAAACCTCTCAAAAAAAAAAAACAAAAACTGAACTGGTGGCTTAAAAACACACTGAAAATTTACCTGAGTTCAGATCCTGACAGGATGAAAAAAAGGATCACCAAGGATTACAGATACTTCACTACAGGTTAAGACTAAATCTAAGAACTTACTTTAAAGAAACAGGAAACAGTGAGAAAGAGAACTTAAGGTAATAGAAACTACACAGTGGAAGGTAACAAGGTTCTAGCAAGTACATAAAGGCTGCAAAAGTACTAAATAGTGAGTTAAACAAGAAGAGGAAAAATAAAGAAAAAATCTACTAGCCCCACGGAAAACCAAAAAAGCTCAACAGTGAAGAAAAAACAATCATAGTCTACTACACGGCTCAACTGTGTATCATATTTAAGAAGTCATAAAAATATAAACAGAGAGCTGTCCCCACAGTTCAACACTTAAAGTGGCTGGATCCCACATGGCCAACTGCAATTCACATCCCTTCCCAGCAGCTGAAATTCATAGTGGGTTTACGTGGGTACATGCCCAAAATATCCCAATCCTGACAGGATGGAGAAATAGAAGAAAACGAACTGTGTCATGGCCACACCGCTCTGGGTGTTTACTCCCTGTTTCTCTCTCCCTCTGGCAAGCACATAGGCCAACATGATCTAAGCAAAATCATGACATACAATACACTGGGAGTTGGTGTAGACAGAAGGCTGTATGTATGTGATGGGCATGGTAAGATAAAAGAAATTGATGGATAGTTCCTAAAGTTGGAAAATCAAAAAAGACAGTAAGTATGGTGTTTATAAATAGTAAAAAATCAGTGAAGACTTCAAAGTGGTTGCCTGTGGTATGAGAAAATTAAGAATATGAAGGGTGGGAACAACTACTGATTTTTATGACAAACTGTGTACACTAGAGTTTATCCTCATTAACTATGTCCATGTATAATTATGATAAAAATAAAAAGACCAAGTTGGGTAATTTTTTTTTAAGTTCCCATTACTATAATAAGCTAAAGCAAGAGGTTTTTATTAATGCCAAATTAACTTTGACTCTTGGTCCTAACCTTAGTTCTGGGATATAACTTTTCACAAAAAACAATGATTTCTATTTTTCTGTCCCACTTGGCATCAACTATCAAAAATATGCAAAAATTACAAGTTTTCCTCCCAGGCCACTCATTCTTTTTTTCTTTCCCCCATGTCTCTCTAAGCGAAAACAGAAAAATCTGTGGTCTCTGGGAATGTCTCAGAAAAAAGGAAGTTGGGGGATCTAAATAAGTAACAAAGAGTACACAAAGCCTCTTCTTACTGGGAAGGATTCATTAGAGCAATCGTTTTCTGGCACTTACCCACTTTTCAGGTCTCTTTAAAAAACATTTTCTCTTTTGGTTTACTAACAAATATGAAGTAGGTTTGTGTTTATAATGGAAAATCCAACGAGAGGTGATACTCGTGTCTAAAGAAACTCATCTGTTCACAGCCAGATTTAATTTGAACAATTTAAGAATTACTACTTGAGTTCAGC